TCTTTAATTCATTCTATTTCTTTAGTATAATTCATTTCACTTTCACACCAGGTACTGTGACTTATTCATGTGTCACTGAATTCTATTTACTATGACAAACCTACACTCTTCTAAAGCTATGTTGTCAAGGACTGCTTTTTTTAAAGTATTGTGGTGATGTTTGTATTGTGGGTAGTGCCCAGTCACTGATCAAAACTCCACTGTGCCAGGCACTGTACAGATACAAAACAAAATTGTTTGAAAGATACTTATCTGTTTTTTTAATTAATCTGTTTAATATGTAGCTCAAGAAAATAGAACTCAGTGTCCGCACATCTTATAACGTACGTGAGATGAACAATGATTTGCAGTGTTGCTGTCGCTGTGTTGGTCCCAGGATAAGAGAGACAAAATGGGTGAGGTAGTATCTTTTATTGGACCAGCTTCTGTTGGTGGAAGGCACAAGCTTTTGAGCTTCCTCAGGTCAAGGAGAAGGTAACTAGAGTGTCCAGGCTAAACTGCCCTCTTCATTTTAAGCAATCTCCTACAATATGTGTGAACCTTTTATGCTTAACAATCTGCCCCACTTTGTTAGCCGTGACACTCTGTTTACCTTCTCCAGACCTGAGGAAGAGCTCTGTAAAGCTCAAAAGCTTCTCCCTTCCAACAAGTGAAGTTGGTCCTATAAAATTTATTACTTCACCGACCTGGTCTCTCTCATAAAAAGTGATTGCAATGTAAAAAATGTGGAAGTCATATTTTAATTTTAATTTTGGATTACAACAACTATCCATTATCAAATGCTTATTTCTAAAACAAAAATGCTTTGTAATAATAATGGATAATTTCATGTAGGAAAGTTTCTGTAAATATGCTATAAATCAGAGGTTAAATAGACTTTTAATAATGTATAACATTAATTCCCCTCCCCCCCCCCAGGATAAAGATGCCAAAATCAGCTTTCTCCAGAAGGCTATTGATGTTGTCATAATGGTAACAGGGGAGCCATTGTCAGTGAAGCCGGCACGTATTGTAGCTGGACATGAACCTGAAAGAACCAATGAGTTTCTCCAAGCAATTGGAAAATGCTGTCTCAATAAGGTATGATCATACTGTCAGTGATTCACATGAATGGTTCCCAACCTTTTCAGTCCTGTGGGTGTCTCTTGTTAAACATAACCAATATGTGATTCATAGACTTCACGACCAGAAAGGACCGTCATGGTCATCTAGTCCAGGGGTGGTCAAACTGTGACTCATGAGCCACATACAGCTCTTTTAGAGTTAAAGTGAGGCTCCCGGAGCCCCTCACAACCCCCCATTCTTCGCCTACCAGACTGTGGGGGGGGGCTCAGGGCTTCTGCCCTATGGCGGGGTGGTGGGGCTAGGGCTTCTGCCAGAGATGACTGGTGCCTGCTGAGAGTGGGGGCACACAATTTAAAGATTGCCCCCCCCAACAGCTTGAGTCATACCCCCCAGGCACACCCCCTCTCTTCCCCTCCTTGAAGTGGCTCTCCCTGCAGCTCTCAGCTGTTGGCCGCTGCTTCTACCCAAAGCGCAGCTCCCAGTTTGCCGCCGGCTCCAGTAGCTACCATGTAGGGCGGGGCCGGCGGCACCATGTGACTGAGTGGGACCAGCAACCCCTGGCAAAAATTGGCGGGGAAGGATGTGACCCCATGTGTCCCCCTCCCACATTGCCTCTGGCTTCTGCCCAGTGGGGTGGGGTGTGGAGGTCTCAGGGCTTCAGCCCTGTGGGAGGCGCCTGCCAGGGCTTCAGCCCCATAGGGTGTACGTGCCATGGCTCAGGGCTTCAGTAGGAGTGGGATAGGTGCCTCCCACAGGGCTGAGACCCCAAGACCCCCTTCCCTGCAGGGCGGAAGCCCCAAGCCCCAGCAGTTGCCTCCCATGGGGCTGAAGCCCAGAGCCCCAGCAGGCACTTCCCAGCTCTCGAACTTCTGAAGATTGTCGTATGTGGGTTGGAAGTTCAGGAAGTTTGGCCACCCCTGATCTAGTCTGACTTCCTGCACAGCACAGGCCAGGGAACCTCACCCACTCACTTCTGTAAAAGACCCTTAACTTCTGGCTGTGTTACTGATATCCTCAAATCATGGTTTAAAGACTTAAAAATACAGAGAATCCACCATTTACTCTAGTTCAAACCAGCCAGTGATCCATGCTGCAGAGGAAGGCGAAAAAAACCCAGGTCTCTGCCAATCTGCCCTGGGAGAAAATTCATTCCCAACCCCAAATATGGCAATCGGTTAGAGACCCTGAGCATGTTGGTGAGACCCACCAACCAGACTCCTGGAAAGAATTATCTGTAGTAACTCAGAGCCCTCTTTATCTAGTGTTCCGTCTATGGCTGTAGGAGATAAATGCTAATAGCAGTCGTGGATGGGCCACGTGCCATTGTAGGCAATCTCATCATACCATTCCCCTCCATAAACTTATCAAGCTCCGTCTTGAAACAAATTGTTTTTTGCCCCCCACTATTTCCCTTGGAAGGCTGTTCCAGAACTTCACTCCTCTGATGGTTAGAAACCTTCGTATAATTTCAAGTCTAAACTTGTTGGCGGCCAGTTTATATCTATTTGTTCTTATCTCAGCATTGTCCTTTGACTTAAATAACTCCTCTCCCTCCCTGGTTTTTATCTCTCTGATGTATTTATAGAGAGCAATCATATCTCCCCTCAGCCTTCGTTTGGTTAGGGTAAACAAATCCAAGGTCCTTAAGTCTCCTCTCGTAAGGTAGGTTTTCCATTCCTCGGATCATCCTAGTAGCCCTTCTCTGCACCTGTTCCAGTTTGAATTCATCTTTCTTAAACATGGGAGACCAGAATTGCACACAGTATTCCAAAAGAGGTCTCACCAATGCCTTGTGTAATGGCAATAACACTTCTCTATCTCTACTGGAAATACCCCCACCAAGTGCATTAGCCTTTTTCACAGCTGCATCATATTGGCAGCTCATAGTTATCCTGTAATAGACCGAGGTGTATTAGTCATTCTCCTCTTCTGTTGCTTCCAACTGATAAATCCTCAGCTTATAGCAAAAATTCTTGTTATTAGTCCCTAAGTCTATGACCTTTCATTTTGTACTATTAAATTTCATCCCATTTCTATTAATCCAGTTTTCAAGGTCCTCCAGATCTTCTTGTCTGATATTCCAGTTCTACTCTCTATTGGCAATTCCTCCCAACTTTGTGTCATCTGCAGATTTTATTAGCACACGCCTACTTGTGCCAAGATCATTAATAAAAATGTTAAATAAGATTGGTCCCAAGACCGATCCCTGAGGAACTCTACTAGTAACCTCCCTCCAGTCTGACAGTTCATCTTTCAGGATGACTGGTTATAGTCTCCTTTTAACCAGTTCGATTCCTGTATTAATCCCCATCTTCTCTAATTTAACTAATTTCTCATGTGGAACTGTATCAATGCCTTACTGAAATTCAGGTAGATTAGATCTACTCCATTTCCTTTGTCTAGAGAATCGCTTATCTTCTCAAAGAAAGAGATCAGGTTGGTCTGGCATGGTCAACCTTTTGTAAAACCATGTTGTATTTTATCCCAATTACCACTTACCTGTATGCCCTTAACTACTTTCTCTTTCAAAATTTGTTCTAAGATCTTGCATACAATTGAGGTCAAACTAATGGTTTGTAGTTTCCTGGATTGGCTTTTCCCCCTTTCTTAAATATAGGTACTATACTAGAAATTGTTCAGTCATAGCATCCGACCCCCGAGTTTATGGATTCATTAAAAATCCTTGCTATTGGGCTTGAAATTTCAGGTGCCATTTCCTTTAATAATCTTGGATGGAGATTATCCATGCCCCCTGGATTTGGTCCCGTTAAGATGTTTGAATTTGACTTCTACCTCGGATATGGTGATTTCTATTTCCATATCCTTGTTTCCATTACTGATCCTGCCACTGTCCCCAAGCTCCTCATTGCTCTTACCAAAAACTGAGGCAACGTATTCATTTAGGTGTTGGGCCATTCCTAGATTAGCTGTCATCTCCACCCCATCCTCAGTGGTTAGCAGTCGCACTTCTTCTTTCCTTGTTTTCTTTTTCTTTATATAGCTAAAGAACCTTTTACTATTGGTTTTAATTTCCCTTGCAAGTTCCAACTCTGCTTGGCTTTTGGCAATTTTTACTTTCCCCCCTACACTTTATGACTTCCAAGAGGTATTTTTCCTTGCTGATCCATCCCTTCTATTCCTTATAGGCAGGCGGTCTGCTTTCTCTTAATAACCGGTTTGAGATGCTTGGCCCTCAGTTTGGTCTGCAACTAGGGCTGTCAAGTGATTAAAAAAATTAATCGCAATTAATCATGTGATTAAACAATAGAATACCATTTATTTTAAATATTTTTGGATGCTTACTACATTTTCAAATATATTAATTTCAGTTACAACATGGAATACAACGTGTACAGTGCTCACTTTATATTTATTTTTTATTACAAATATTTGCACTGGAAAAAGTAAAAAAAAAAATTGTATTTTTCAATTCACCTCATACAAGTACTGTAGTGCAATCTCTTTACCATGAAAGTTGAATTTACAAATGTAGAATTATGTACAAAAAAACCTTTTATTTTTGAATGCTATGTAGAACTTCAGAGCCTACAAATCCACTCAGTCCTACTTCTTGGTCAGCCAATCGCTCAGAAAAACAAGGTTGGTTACAATTTGCAGGAGGTAATGCTGCTTGCTTCTTGTTTACAATATCACCTGAAAGTAATAACAGGCGTTCGCATGCCACTGTTGTAGCGGGCGTTGCAAGATATTTACGTGCCAGATACACTAAAGATTCATATGTCCCTTCATGCTTCGACCACAATTCCAGAGGATGTACTTCCATGCTGATGATGGGTTCTGCTTGATAATGATCCAAAGCAGTGCAGACTGACACATTTTCATTTTCATCATGAGAGTCAGATGCCACCAGCAGAAGGTTGATTTTCTTTTTTGGTGTTTTGGGTTCTGTAGTTTCTGCATCAGAGTGTTGCTCTTTTAAGATTTCTAAAAGCATGCTCCACACCTCGTCCCTCTCAGATTTTGGACAGCACTTCAGATTCTTAAACCTTGGGTTATGTGCTGTAGTTATTTTTAGAAATTTCACATTGGTACCTTCTTTGCATTTTCTCAAATCTGCTGTGAAGGTGTTCTTAAAACGAACATGTGCTGGGTCATCATCTGAGACTGCTATAACATGAAATATATGCAGAATGTGGGTAAAACAGAGCAGGAGACATACAATTCTCCCCCCAAGGAGTACAGTCACAAATTTAATTGACGCATTATTTTTTTAACGAGCATGATCAGCATGGAAGCATGTCCTCTGGAATGGTGGCCGAAGGATGGAAGGGGCATATGAATGTTTGTTTAGCATATCTGGCATGTAAATACCTTGCAGTGCCGGCTTTCAGGTGACATTATAAATAAGAAGCAGGCAGCATTATCTCCCATCAATGTAAACAAACTTGTTTGTCTTAGCGATTGGCAGAATAAGAAGTAGGACTAAGTGGCCTTGTAGGCTCTAAGGTTTTACACTGTTTTATTTTTGAGTACAGTTATGTAACCAAAAAAAATCTGCATTTGTAAGTTACACTTTCACGATAAAGAGATTGCACTTCAGTACTTGTATGAGGTGAATTGAAAAATACTATTTCTTTCATTTTTACAGTGCATATATTTGTAATAAAAAATAATAATATAAAGTGAGCACTGTGCACTTTGTATTCTGTGTTGTCATTGAAATCAATATTGAAAATGTAGAAAAACATCCAAAAATATTTACTACATTTCGATTAGTATTCTATTGTTATAAGTGCGATTAATCACGATTAATTTTTTTGAGTTAATCGCGTGAGTTAACTGTGATGAATTGACAGCCCTATCTGCAACTCTTCCTATGATTTTTTTCCCCCCTTGCTCAGGAGGCAGCCCCAGATAGTTCCTGCAACTTTGAGTTAAAGTGGTTCCAAGCCTCTTCTACATTCAGATCCTTGGGTTAGTTGTTAGGGGGCTTATTCCTTCACCCTCTCACTTCCCTGGTCCTTCTCGCATGAACAGAGAGCAACAATACCCAAAGTCCAAAGGCGCAAACAATTCGATGTTTATTGGGGTGAACTTCCAGGAAGCATGATTCCAGTTTCCTTCCTCAGTGTCCCCCTTCCCAGCTCTGACATCACAGAGCCATCCCTGTTCCCATTCCCTGTTCCCATTCCCCCCTTATCAAAACATGATTCCAATTTCCCCACCCCCATTCCCTGTTCCCATTCCCCCCCCTTACTTCCTGATTGACTGCAGACTATATAGTAAAACTTGAGTTCTGCTTAGCTATACCTTAACCAATCATTTTACTGAAATTTAACTAACCAATCCTAACATACTGTAACATGGTTATTTAACTAATTATATTCCACCACCTTAATTGGTTTACACCCAACAAAATTAATTATACAGCAGACAGAAACAATTACAGAACCAGACAGAGACCATGCAAATAAACATACAAAACAATACAGAAGTGAGGATTTCACAACTACATCTATACAGACATAAAGGTTTTCCAGCTGTGTCTATTGATAAGTGAGTTCTTACCAGACAGAAAACTATCAAACTAAATTTCCTTTTACATGTTCTATGCTCTTTCCTTTCTCTGGAGGTGATAGGAATATCAGGACAGAATTGTATTCCTAACAGCCCACTAGCACCTTATTTCCATGTGACTAGTTTGGAATGTGAGGATGTGACCGTTCACTTCCCAGTTTATGGCTGCCTCTGCTGCTTAGCCGAAGGCCTTAGCCTAAGAACCAGGCCTCAGACTGTTACAGAAGAGAAGGCCCTTACACATACAGAAAGTGCTTTTGATTCTTTCTTTCTTTTATACCTCTATAACTAGCTAAGTGATAAGAATACACTTAAATTCTTAAAGTATAGGCCTTTACAGACAGGCCTGAATATCTATATCCTAACATTAGTCAGTGTAGTCCTCTTCTGTAACTAAATTCCTTAATTTTTTTTTTAGTTTGTCCTTTTGAAATCAAGGACCCTTGTTTATCCTTCCATTTAGTTTAAACTGATTCATGGATATGACAAACTGTATGAAAACTCATCCACTATTTGTATTTATTAAATATATGAATTGTATTGTTGTGTTAACTGCAGTATAACATAACTAAAAGTACATGTGGCCTGATCCTTAACTGATGTAAAGCATTGTAACTCCATGGAAATCAGTTGAGCTGTTTACATAAATTGAGGATCTGGCCTATAAACTTTGGCTATATCATCACCATGTTAGGTGAACATGGAATACTCTTTGGTTTAATTACAACAGAATCCACAAGCATTTTCTAAGTTGGAATTTCCAGATTTTCAGTGTACCATTGGGCCATTTATGCACCTAAATGAGTTGATGAGCATATCTTTAGGCACCTATTTTTCAAAATCTTTCAACCTTTTAAAATCACAAATGGAGGTTCTTACTGTAAAGAAGCCACTCTTTCCTCCAGGTATGCAAAAAAGCGGCAATGGAGACATTAGATCCCATATCTTAGTAACCCTGGAAACTGATGGGTTTTAAAACAACTGTTGCCTTTAATATAGCCTGTTGTATTCCTGTTTTTTGCTTATAGTCACTGTAGAGCTTTTGAAATAAAAGTCTAATCTTCTTGAGCTCTTTATCCACTGATGCCCTCCTTGATCATAGCCTCAGCCTGATCAGTGATCTGAACAAGAACAGATGGACAGGTTCTATTCTCCTGCAGAGTTCTTCCCTTTCATGAAAGAAAATACTATATTAATGGTCCAAAACACTTGGGGTAATGATAGTGAAGTATTTAAGGACATTATTTATAAAACACTGTAGTGTTTAAGGATTGTACATGAGGATGATTCAAACTGACTTTTTGGTAATCCAGTAGTTTTTGAAGTTCATATTGCATGTGAGCCGTTCCCATAGCTTTTCAATAAATCAATTGCGTTAGCTTCTTTCTTGTTTGAAATAAGGGAGGGAGAATCTAGGAAAAAGGCTTTGGATTGCTTAGATAATGTTCTTGACCCCGAATTTCCTTGGGAATTTTTGACAAGATCCAATATCCTGAAAGTAGTCTCAGTCAACTGAGACTAATGGGGTTGAGATAATTATCCTATTGATTTTTATGATTGTGAAAATATCAAACTTGGTCTGTTGTGTGCAAAGGATCCTCTGGTCTCAGGACTGTTTAAATTAAGACTTTTAGTGCTAATCTCATGCTGTTTATTGTTTCTATAAATGAGGCCAATGTCACTAATGTTGTTGTTCAGATGCTAGTGACTCAATGTGAAAACCCACAAAAATTCATCCTTCTCCAATTGTATACCAAGAGGGAATCAGAGTGGCCCGGGTGCCTGACTCCTCTGTACTGAGTTATCATGAGGGGCAAAAGCAGTTCCAGTGATCTTAAAAATCCAGTTCTCTTTCCGGAAGAGCAAGGTTGAGCAGAAAGGGTATGGTCACCTCAGTATATATACTCAGATCTTGGTATAACAGAACTCATGGTCATCGTTGTGCAGAAACTGAGACCTGACTTCAGCAGCCACCCAAATGGACTGGTAAAAATTGTTTGCTTAGTAGTTTTCAAAGCTGAATCAAATTTAATGGGACACTTGAGGGCTTCTTTTAACATGGTCACTAAATTCGGTTTGAAGTCCTCCTCAGTATAGGTTTCCTAACATTTTTTTAAAAAAATGTTATCTTTAAAATGAAACAGTCTGTTGGTTAAAATGGAGCCACATCAGAGTATATCTAAATGTGGCATTGTAGGGTTAGGAATGTTTAACCCGTGTAGCAGTCATAATATGGTAGATACTTTCAAAATAATCCACTTTATTATAACAGATAAAAGGTAAAAGACCTAGTAATAAGACTAATTAGCATTGGAAACATTAATAGAAAAAAATCACAGAATATATGGATAGCTTTGGTGGATACAGTCAAATTATTAAAAAAGAGGCACAAGAAAGCAGTTGACTTAAATCGGTGTATTGTCTTTGAATGAAAGGAGTAGCATAAAACACATACGATTCCATAAAAATCATCCTGGGAACTGCAGAATTAGAAATGCAGATTGCATTTAATAAAGTAACACAGGCTAATTTTCAGTGGATTTAATCTTCTCTACAGTTGTCCAGTGATGATGCTGTGAAGAAGGTGCTTGCTGGGGAGAAAGCTGATATGAAAGGAAAGCCTCCATCTACTTCTAAATCTCAAGATAAAGAAAACAGAGAATCCAGGGCAGAAGAACAAAAAAGCCATAAGGATAAAGAGGTGGGATTTGCTGCATTTCTGGGGGGAAAATGGACTACAACTAGAAATATTTTGGGGTGATAAATACTGTGTAATGGAACTGGCTTGTGCTATAGTTTAATATTACTTTCTACTCTATTTTTAGGGTAGAGGGGACAATGAAATAAAAGATAGAAGTACAAGCCGGGACAGAAAACCTAGAGAAGAGTTGAAAGAAGAAGAAAAGAAACAAAAAGAAAAGGAGAGAGACAAGCATAAAGATAATGAGGACAGGCACAAAGACCTTGAAGCGGACAATTTTAGAGAAGGTGAAAAGCATGAAAGAGAGAAAAGCAAGAACAGAACCTCCAAACAAGGAAGAGAAACAGAAAAAAGTAGAGACAAAGAAAAAGGAGATGTGGAACAAGAAAAAGATCTGGAACATGATAAAGGACGGGAGAAGGAAAGAAAAAATGAAGGAGGAAAAGAAAAGGAAAAATTGAAAGAAAGGGACAAAGAGAAGGGCAGGGACAAAGACCGTGAGAAAGACAGAGATAGGGGAAAAGAGAGAGAGAGGGACAGACGAAGGGAACGAGGCAAAGATGGGGAACACTTGAAAGAACGAGGAACGGATAAAAAGGTAAAACAAACACTCTTACTAATGTGTGCTCTCAGCCCTTTGGTATTGATTAAGTCTGTGTCTTTATATCACGTTTGCACATATCTTCATCTGGCATTCTTGGTTGTCTGTCGTTAATTTAACGATTCTTAAGTGTTTTTGTTTTCACTAAGCAAAAACCTGCTTGCTTCATTAAATTAAAAGTAATGGAGACTCTTTCCTATCTTCAAAATCCCTTTCCCCTCTCCCTTCTTTTTTTGTAGCACTTAACATGGATTGTGATTGCATGCACACATACACACTCTGCATACCTCCAGCTGAACGCTGCTTTGCAGAGGCAGCTCCAGGGGCTGTAGCGTGGATCCTGGATTCTGTTTATTGATGCTTAAAAAGACTGTGTCCTTTGTACTAGCCTTTTCACAGCTTTTGTAAATGGCATCCAGCAAAGAGCATCTTGGAGCATATCAAAACCTTGAAGGTAGTGGAACCCCTTGCATCTCATTTGAAGCATTGTGTATTCTAGCTAAGAGGATCTTGGGCATCTGAGTCCTGGAAGCGACCACATAACCAGCATCCTCCCTACAAATGGCAGCTGTTGAAAATATTTTTGTGATATATTGGAGTCCTTCTAGACAGTAGCAGCAGAGTCTCAGTAAAGAAACAGTCCTGCAACAGTTCAGATATGCAGAAGGAGGGGACTACTTTCTCTTTTGTGTAAAATGATTGCTGAGGGGGAAGGGCTCTCATTATTAAACCGCAAAACACAAACCAATAGCTGCCGCCTCTGATTTATAACATAATTTTTCTCTGGAAAGCTATTGCCCATTCTAGATTGTTTACTTCTGGTCCTCAGTCAAGAAATCTTTCAACTGCTACTACTGTGTCAGGGACAAAAATCTACTCCAGGTTGCTTCTTTGCTGGATCTGACAATGGTGACTGTCTTTACAGGCTTGACTCTCTTGAGCTGACTCTCTTCTCAGCAATAAATCAGTCCATGTAATTGCCAGTGGTAGATATCCTGATGTCTTCTGTGAAAAAACAAAATTTATGAAGAGAGTGGAGTAGATGGTGTAATAATTTTAAATCTCCAATGACACACCAATACCCTCTTGGAGTGCCATTAGAGGAAATGTTCCCTCTGAAGTTTTTAAGTTTCTCCAGGAGGAATAACACATGGCAGTGGTTCTCAAACTTTTTACTGACATGATCCACCAACTGCATTTTGTCTTTTGCCACCCACCATTACATATATGCACCTTCCATCCCAGCACTGCAGCCCTGATCCCGGCCAGGTATGGAGGGATGCCCTAGAGGAGGTGGGGGATGGATAATGAGCCTGTCCTGCACTCAGCCTGCAGAGGTGGCTCCTGTCTCATGGGGCTGGCTCTGTTGTCCAATGGTTACGCCATGTGTCAGGTTGCAGTGCTTGGAGCGGGGAGAAATGTACATTGGCCTAGGGCTCTGTGACCCATCTACAACCTTCCCACGACCCACTTATGGGTAGAGACCCCTTGTTTGAGAAACACTGACATATGGGACCATTAGCACTTAAATCCCCTAGTGGTAAAATAGCTGAATACTACTATGTGCTAGAAAGCCTTGATAACATCAGGTCTTTGTGGAAATCCCACCTCCTCCATGATACCTTAATTTGAGCCGTTAGGTTCTGTATTGTACTTCCTGATCATCAAATTGGCATTGCTTTTCTGAATGGCAGTAGGGCAGTTAGTATAGAAGCTTGGCCCATTTGGCCTTTCTTTCTTGTGGTTGTCTGTCTTTAGACTTGATTGCTTGGTTCCAGCTTTGTTCTTGCTGGGAGTGCTGAAAGGAAGTCCACCAGCATCAAGCCATTTCCCTCCTACGGGGGTATTATGTCCAGCAGGACGTAAGGAACCAAAGGACATGAAAAGAATAAATTCCCTATAATTCCCTATATACCAATGAATATAAATACAGGAATTGTGGAAAATTTATATGGGGTGTGAAGGGACACAAGGAGAAATCTATGGTCGGCAGAGTTAAGGACAATAAGGAGTTTTTAAAAGTATATTAGGAACAAAAAGAATCCTAACAATAGTATTGATCCATTACTAGATGCCAATCAACATGGGTTTATGGAAACCAGATCCTGTCAAGCTAACTTGATAGATCTTTTTGATCCTATTACAAGTTTGGTTGATGAAAGTAATAGTGTTGATGTAATAGACTTCTGTAAGTCATCTGACTTGTACCGCATGACATTTTGATTTAAAAACTAGAATGAAATAAAGTCAACATGGTACACATTAAATTGCTTAAAAGCTGACTGATAGGTCTCAAAATGGGGAATCATCATCCAATATGTGTGTTTCTAGTGGGATCCCAGAGGAATTGGTTCTCACCGCTGTGCTATTTTATTACTGATAAAGTTTGCAAATGAGACAAAAATTGGGGAGAGGTAAATCATCATGAGGACGGGTCACTGATACAGATCGTTTGCACCCAGGTTACCAAGCAATCCAGATCAAATAATATGGCATTTTAATATGGCTAAATGTGAATGTATACATCTAGGAACAAAGAATGCAGGCCATACTAACAAGATGAGGGACTCTATCCTGGGATGCAGTGACTCTGAAAAAGATTTGGGGATGGTAGTTGACGATGAGCTTCCAGTCTGATGCTGTGGCCAAAAGGGCTAGTGCAATCCTTGGCTGCATAAACAGAGGAATCTCAATCCGGGGTAGAAAGGTTATTTTACTGCTATATTGGCAATGGTGCAGCTGCTGCTGGAATACTGTGTCCAGTGTGATGTCCACAATTCAAGAAGGATGTTGATAAATGTAAGAAGGTTCAGAGAAGGGCCACAAGAATGATTAAAAGTAGGACTGTTGATTAATCGCAGTTAATTCATGCGATTTAACTCAAAAAATTAATGGCAGTTTTAATCACACTGTTAAACAATAGCATGCCAATTGAAATTTATTAAATATTTTGGATGTTTTTCTATATTTTCATATATATATTGTATTCTGTGTTGTAATTGAAATCAAAGTGTATATTATTTTGATTCTAAATATTTGCACTGTAAAAATTATAAACAAAAATAGTATTTTTCAATTCACCTCATACAAGTACTGTAGTGTGCAATCTCTTTGTTGTGAAAGTGCAACTTACAAATGTAGAATTTTTTTTGTTACATAACTGCAGGCAAAAACAAAACAATGTAAAACTTCAGAGCTTACAAGTCCACTCAGTCCTCCTTCTTGCTCAGCCAATCGCTCAGACAAACAAGTTTGCTTACATTTGCAGGAGATCATGCTGCACGCTTCTTGTTTATAATGTCACCAGAAAGTGAGAACAGGAATTTGCATGGCACTTTTGTAGCTGGCATTGCAAGGTATTTATGTGCCAGATATGCTAAACATTCGTATGTCCCTTCATGCTTCAGCCACCATTTCAGAGGACATGCTTCTATGCTGATGACGCTCGCTAAAAAAATGCGTTAATTAAATTTGTGCTACAATTCTCCTCCAAGGAGTTAAATGTCCCTGCTCTGTTTTACTCACATTCTGCCATATATTTCATGTTATAGCAGTCTCAGATGATGACTCAGCACATGTTCATTTTAAGAACACTTTCACTGCAGATTTCACAAAACGCAAAGAAGGTACAATGTGAGATTTCTAAAGATAGCTATAGTGCTTGACCCAGGGTTTAAGAATCGTAGAATATCAGGGTTGGAAGGGACCTCAGGAGGTCATCTAGTCCAACCCCCTGCTCAAAGCAGGACCAATTCCCAACTAAATCATCCCAGCCAGGGCTTTGTCAAGCCTGACCTTAAAAACCTTTAAGGAAGGAGATTCCACCACTTCCCTAGGTAACCCATTCCAGTGCTTCACCACCCTCCTAGTGAAAAAGTTTTTCCTAATATCCAACCTAAACTCCCCCACTGCAACTTGAGACCATTACTCCTTGTTCTGTCATCTGGTACCACTGAGAACAGACTAGATCCATCCTCTTTGGAACCCCCTTTCAGGTAGTTGAAAGCAGCTATCAAATCCCCCCTCATTCTTCTCTTCTGGAGACTAAACAATCCCAGTTCCCTCAGCCTCTCCTCATAAGTCATGTCCTCCAGACCCCTAATAATTTTTGTTGCCCTCCTCTGGACTTTTTCCAATTTTTCCACATCCTTCTTGTAGTGTGAGGCCCAAATCTGGACACAGTACTCCAGATGAGGCCTCACCAATGTCGAATAGAGGGGAATGATCACATCCCTCGATCTGCTGGCAATGCCCCTACTTATACAGCCCAAAATGCCGTTAGCCTTCTTGGCAACAAGGGCACACTGCCGACTCATATCCAGCTTCTCGTCCACTGTAACCCCTAGGTCCTTTTCTGCAGAACTGCTGCCTAGCCACTCGGTCCCTAGTCTGTAGCAGTGCATGGGGTTCTTCCGTCTTAAGTGCAGGACTCTGCACTTGTCCTTGTTGAACCTCATCAGGTTTCTTTTGGCCCAATCCTCTAATTTGTCTAGGTCCCTCTGTATCCTATCCCTACCCTCCAGCGTATCTATCATTCCTCCCAGTTTAGTGTCAACTCCTCCCAGTTTGGTGTAGAATCTGAAGTGCCTTCCAAAATCTGAGAGGCATGAGGTGAGCATGCTCTCAGAAGTCTTAAAAGAGCAACACTCTGATGCAGAAACTACAGGACCCAAACCACCAAAAAAGAAAGCTGCTTTGGATTGTTATTGAGCATCAGCATGGATGTGTCCCCCCTGGAATGGTGGTGGAAGAATGAAGGGATATATGAATCTTTAGCGCATCTGGCACGTAAATACCTTCCGACACCAGCTACAACAGTGCCATGCGAATGCCTGTTCTCACTTTCAGCTGACATTATAAACAAGAAGCGGGCAGCATTATCTCCTGCAAATGTAAACAAACTTGTTCGTCTGAGCGATTGACTGAACAAGAAGTAGGACTGAGTGGATTTGCAGGCTCTAAAATTTTACTTTGTTTTATTTTTGAATGCAGTTTTTTTGGTACATAATTCTACATTTGTAAGTTTCATGATAAAGAGATTGCACTACAGTACTTGTATTAGGTGAATTAAAAAATACTATTTCTTTTGTTTTTTATAGAGCAAATACTTGTAATGAAAAATAAATATAAAGTGAGCTGTATGAATTGCTGTACATTTTGTATTCTGTGTTGTAATTGAAATCAATATATTTGAAAATGTAGAAAACATCCAAAAATATTTAAAGAAATGGTATTCTGTTATTGTTCAACAGTGCGATTAATCGCGATTAATTTTTTGAATCGCTTGACAGCCCTAATTAAAAGATTAGAAAACATGCCTTATAGTAATAGACTCATGGAGTTCAATCTATTTAGCACTTAACAAAGAGAAGGTTAAGAGGTGACTTGATTACAGTCTATAAGTACCTACAGGGGAACAAATATTTAATAATGGGCTCTTCAATCATAGAATCATAGACTAGAATCATAGAATAGCAGGGTTGGAAGGGACCTCAGGAGGTCATCTAGTCCAACCCCCTGCTCAAAGCAGGACCAATTCCCAACTAAATCATCCCAGCCAGGGCTTTGTCAAGCCGGGCCTTAAAAACCTCCAAGGAAGGAGATTACACCACCTCCCTAGGTAACCCATGAAGAATGGGTTCTAGCAGAAAAAGGTATAATATGATCCAGTGAGTGGAAGTTGAAGCTAGACAAATTCAGACCGGAAATAAGGGGTACATATTTAACAGTGAGGGTAACTAATCATTGGAACAATTTACCAAGGGTCGTGGTGGATTCTCCCTCACTGGCAACTTTTAAATCAAGATTAGTTTTTTTTTCTAAAAAATTTGCTCTAGGAATTAATTTGGGGAAATCCTCTGGCCTGCCTTCTATAAGAACTCAGGTGATCACAGTGGTCCTATTTGGCCTTGGAATCTATGAATCTGTAATGGATCACACACTTGTTAGTTCTCTCTCAGACAAGGGACATATTCCCAGTCATTGCTCCCTGTATGTGGTCTTCTCTTGTCTAGAACTCGTAACTGTCTTAAGTTCCATCTCCTCATTGTTTTTCACTTCATCACTCAAGCTGAGGCTTTCTGGATGCTGCGTCCTGCTAACTTTCTCTAAATCTTTCCTAGCTTCTGTTTCTCTTCCGGTGCTTGCCATTTGCCAATAGTGACTCCAGATTAGGGGACATCTGGAGTGTGAGGACAGGTTAATTTTTGTGTGTGAGAAGATAATTTACAGATACATATCCCCCCAATCTGGAGGATTCTTTTCCCTCTGGGATTGCTCAGAAAAGGTGACATCTTAAAAGGTTTACTTGTTTATCAGTGGAAGCATACTTGGGTGTGTGGTGCCATCTGAGTTTTTATACAGGCACTGCACTCCACCAAAACTCCACCATCAGAGAACTCCCTTTGTCCTAAGGGTGACCCTTACACCAGTAATTGCTAGGGGATATCAGTTAAAAGAAGACCGATAAGAAACTTGCCTCATTATTACACTCAGCATTACTGTACATTGATTTTTATCATCAAGGTTTTTCCTTTAAGTGGCTTAATGTAGGTCATATATTGATATTAAGTATCTCAGTGGTTGGATATATAGCAGCTGTTTCTCTTCAGTCCACAGGATCTGAGGATACTTTAGCTAAGAAAACAGAGAGATCTTCTAAAGACACCAAGACTGAGCCAGATAAAGAGGTAAGTATTGCAAAGCAATACAAAAGCACAATCAAGCTGGCTATTTAAAGTTTTAGAATATATTAACTCATACTGAACTCTGTGAGTTTGCAGTGGAGCTGGAACAATTTTTATAGTTGGGCGCTGAGAGCCATTGAACCAAAGTGTAAACTCTGTATATAATGGAAACCACTTTAAGCCAGGGGGTGCGGCAGCACCCCTAGTTCTAGCACCTATGGGAGTCTGTTACCTGAGGATTGCTGTGATTTAAAAAAAAAAAAAAAAAAAAAAAAAGAGGTTTTAGATTAATATAAAGTTGTGGGATGCTAAAGCAGGTATATCACTCTGGGCCTAGTTTTGGGGATGCTCCAGCATCCAGGAAGCTGGCTTTTTAATGAGAGTTGGGGTGTCATTGGTGCTGAGGACTCAGGTGCCTTCTTGCAGCCAACAGATTCTCCTGTGACATAGTGGCAATGGGGAAACCTTCAACTAAGCTGATGTTTGGAGTCGAACCTGCTTGGAATCCAGTTTAGTTGACCTTCAGCCTTTCTTAAAAGGGCCAATGTGCAGTTACTTTTCTTTCCATTGCCACCTTCAGTGGCACCCATTGCTCTTTTGCAGTCTACCCACTATCCATGATGATGTGCTAGAATTGGATGAAGAGGAAATAGGTTGTGATATCAACCAAGTGGTCATAACTGAACAGAAGCTGCAGAGCCTCTGTAGCTTCTATTGATATCACTGTGTCTGCATCTGTTGCCTCCTGATGACTGCAGGCAGTTTTGGGAGTTACTGGTTCAGGTGGCTAAGTATTTTAGAGATGAGACTAAAATATTTTTGTAAAGCAGTAGAGACTAGAAAAAAATTTAAAATAGTAGGTAAGATGCCAAATCTAGCAGGAATCTCTGTAGGAGTCTGTGGACTACTCACATCATCATGGCTTCTACTTCTCCATTAGATGACAAATTTTTATAGTCATTCTTTGACTAAAATCAAACCAGACATTTTAAAATATTGGCACTTGGGCTGAGAGCTTATGCACTAGTTTTAAATTTGAAGCTAATTGTTATGGCCAAGTTAAACTTCCTGCTAATGGGGTTTCTAGTGGAAATTCTGAGCCTGATCCCAAACTAGAGCAGTGCTCTTGGGCACCACAACAATGTACTTGTATCAGAGGAGTAGCTGTGTTAGTCTGGATCTGTAAAAAGCGATGAAGAGTCCTGTGGCAAAGGTGCTAACTTTTAGACTAACAGAAGTATTGGAGCATAAGCTTTCGTGGGTGAATACCCACTTCATCAGACAAGTGGGTATTCACCCACAAAAGCTTATGCTCCAATACTTCTGTTAGCCTATCAGGTGCCACAGGACAACAATGTACTAGTGCAGTAAAGTTCCACTTCCTGTCCTAAGTGCTTTCTGGAATTATTCTAGATCATTTTGGTTTATTACCTTCACTTTAGATGACATGCTTCTCCTTTGCTCACGTGCATAATAGAAGACATTGCGTTGTCTACAGTTGATTAAAACATGCACTATAGACCCATGCATGAGAAATGGTCACCTCACTGGATTGTGGGGGAAGAGAGTGGAATGAAAATGTTCCTAATGAATCCCTAGAATCGAAGAATTAAGATACTCTCTCACAGTGTTTTGGAAGAAATTCCAAAAATTAAATAAACGAGAAAAGCATCTTACTCGACTGGGACTGATCCTCATATCGCACTAGCAGTACACTAATGTAGCTCCATTAACTTCCATGAAGTTGCTCCTGATTTAAACTGCTGTTACTCCATTGAAGCCTCACAGCTGTAAAACAGGTGAAGTAAGAATGAAAATCAGGCCAAAAATCAGATGTGTGTGTATGCATACGGGGTTTTAATAGCAATATTTAATTCATTTTACTGCCTTGTTTCTTTATTTGAATTTTCAACATTCAACACTAGCTTTTAAAAATTGAACTCCATGGTGTCATATGCATTTTGAAACAACCCTTATGTAGAGGGAGTCGTAAGTGTTTAGTTTGATTCACAACAGTCTTCGCTTGTCAAGATACTTGTGGCTGTGCTGCTCATACTTCATCCATAATTATTTTTTGATATAGCATGATGTAAGACATAATATGATAAAAGATGCTTTTATTTGACATGTAGAGTAAGTTGCATTGCTGCCAGTTTTAAACCCCTAATTATGACAATAGAAACTTAATGTTGGCATGCATTACTGCTGTTGACTTGTCTGTGTAGGAGAAACTGTTTCCAGGCCTTCTACTCATGTATCTTTTTATATCAATATTACACACACATAGCTACGTTCAAGCAGTCAAAAGTTAGGAAATGCCAGAATTAAGGGGCCAGTGCAGCCTTACTTTGGCTCCCCTTTGTGCGTGCATTGTTATAGCCTTTAATTACCTACTAATTTTTCCATGTGACCCCTTCCACATTTAGTACACAGGATAGACTGCTCTAGGTTGTGCAGTGAAGGAGACTGCTGTCTGTAGGAATCCTACCTCATTTGTTGCAGATGTTGGAAGGTGTGTAGTGAGTGAGGCAGGGGATGGCAAGAAGAGAAAGAACCATCTCGTAGTAAAGGTGGTTGAATGCTGCCCTGGAGAATTGGATTCTATCCCTACCTCTGCCAGAGAGTTCCTATGTGATGCTGGGCAAGTCACTTAAACCAAAATTTTCACAGGTGATTACTAACTTTGTGTTTCTCATTTTCTGGGTATCCAATCTGAGACACTTGGGGTGTGATTTGTGGAAATGTTGGGCATTCAGCTGCAATTGAGGCCAATGGGAATGGTGGCTGAATACATAAATTGCTACATAATGTACGTATATATTTATGCTCTGAAAAATTAGGTTTTAGTAATTTCATATTGGGCACCCAAAGTTAGTGGATATTTTTGATCTTAGTCTCTCTCTATCTCAGCTACCCATCTGTAAAATGGGGAACCATCACCTCACAGGGGCGTTGTGAAGATAAATGAACATTTTGAAGCATTTAGATACTATGATGATGAGTGCCACAGAAAAGCCCATGAAGAAGATAAGAATTCTGTATCGGAGCAGTGTTTGAATAATGTGAAGTGAATAAGGTCTGGGGCCACACAAAGAGGGGAAAACAAAATATTGAATAGGGGCTCATTAATTAAGCCCCATCCATCTGTGCACTGAAAGAGGCAGGGGTTCTGTGGGAAAGCAGTGTGTGATCATGTACAGAAAGCCTATATATCATAATGCATATGCATAGGCAGCCTTAATTCTGGCACTTCCTAACTTTTGAATGTTTAGACTTTGCAACCTTTGTTATGTTCTTTTAATATAGTGTGTGGTGGTTTATTAGACACCTGGAAAATGACACACACAAAGCAAACTGAAGAAAAAAATCCATCATATGGCATCATATTGACACCCACCAAACGCATGGTTGGAACATTTAGGTCAGTAGTTCTCAAACTTTTGTACTGGTGACCCCTTTCACATAGCAAGCTTCTGAGTGTGACCCCCCCCCTTATAAATTAAAAACACTTTTTAAATATATTTAACACCATTATAAATGCTGGATGCAAAGCGGGGTTTGGGGTGGAGGCTGACAGCTCGCGACCCCCCCCATGTAATAACCTTGTGACCCCCTGAGGGGTCATGACCCCCCAGTTTGAGAACCCCTGATTTAGGTCCTCCACACAGACCTCTGCCACTTGACACAGAGGACTCCCTTAGTTCAGATACTGCAGGGGGTTGCAATACATATTTTGCCAGTGGGTTTCACAGATATTTGTTGACCATGGAGGAATGGTGAGACTCAGTAATCTTGGGTGCCATTCTAGGCTGCGGAGGGCAGTGTACTCTTGTGGTCATAGACCCTTTTGCCTGCTCTCCTTCTCCCTTCCAACTTGTTTCTGTACCAGTTCTTTTTCCCCATCCCTGGCTCTTCACCTCCTTGACTATCCCGTCCCAGTCTCCACTCCTTATGCTTCTTGTCTTAGTCCCAGTCTCCTTGTGCAGCCTTAGTCTCTGGCTCCTCATCTGTTCTGTTCTCCTTTCACCCACACTGGTTCCAATTCCCAGTCTCCCTCTCTGGGCTCTTCATCCACCCTCAATCTATACCACCACACACCTGGCTCATCGTCCCAATCTCTTTGCCCAGCCAGTCACCGTTTTCTCTCCCCACACTCCAGATCTGTTTCCACTCCTGGCTCCCAGTCATTTTCTCTCTCCCCTCCCACCTTTAGTTTGAGTTTTACCAGGCTTCTTGTCCCAGTCTACTCCTTTCCCTCTATCTGGTCTGGCTCCTGTCCCCTCTGCATTCAAGTCAGGCACCTTCCTGTTCTTTTCTGACTGGGCACCAGCAGAGGGGATATTGAATGTGCAGGAGAGACAGGCTCCCTGCTCTCAATTCTGATGCCTGCAGTGTTTCAAGCTGAATAGTTTGAATACTACATTTAAGAAAGCTTTGTTCATTTAGAAGTCTATCGTAACACTTTTAATGTATACTGTCACTTAGACCTCAGTTTGCTAACCATGCTTGTTTGAGATTAGACTTCTAGACTAGATTTTTTGAATGCTCAGAATTTGTAATATTCCTCTTGCTATTTATCTCCAGAAGTCTGAGCACTGGGCAAATACCTTTAAATTCTTGCATATTCTTTATTAAAGAAAATCTGTTCTGTCACCAGCAAGTGGTGATGTCCTGGTATCCATAATACATTTTCTAAAATGAAAGTAAAGCTAGTCTGAACAAAAACGAACAGGAAGCATTCGGCTAATATCTGGCAGGCAATCTTCAGTGTGTGTTGGAAGATGGATGCCTGCTGGTTATTGCTTATCACCTTGCTTGTGATCAGAGAAAGTAAAATTGTGTTTTGTATGCTCTTGGTCCAGATTAAGTGAGTAGTTTTGTTCTCAAGTGAGCACTTCCATAGCATGACTGACTTTTTAGATCATAAAGATAACTTCGAGACTTGTGACAAAAGCCAGGGGACTCAGGCCTTAGGCGGACCTTCTGAAGCATATGGTGCTGTT